GGTAGCCAGTTAGCATTTGATGTTGACCCAAATCTTTCTTCTAAGCCTTAAGGATCTAATACAAAGAAATGCCGATTCTTTGTTCACAGCTTGTGAGTTAAAACTATGGTTCCTGATGCAATGCTTTGCCAAGATCAATAAGATTATTTATGGCAATAAAAGATTATTTTAAATTTTGCGAGCAATTGGATTTTCTAGTACACAAATATTTTCAGGAGCATTTTTGGGGCTTGAAGCTTTGGTTTCCTAGGTGTAAGGTTTAGTAAGCATCCTTGGCACTTCTTTTATTTTATTTTTGGTACATGAGGGTATTTAATGTATTAGTAATAGGTATTCTCTACATTGCACCATTTGAACAGTGTTGTCTCTTGATTTAGTAAAGAAAACCAGATATGGTCTTCTAGCCTTTCCCCAGTCCCTGCCTGAGTTAACAAGAGCTACATGGCTGCTAATAGATACATTCAGATAATGTGTTTGGATTCGCTCACTAACTCCAGCTGATGTTGTCTTTGCTGCACCAAGCATTATGCTCATATTTCTCTCAGCAAATTCTCTTTGTCACCTGCTATTCTCAATAGAAAAGTTTTCTGCTGAAGGTGCTTTTAAACCCGAGCATACCTCATCAGTGGCAATCTACAGACAAAGGTGTGCCGAGTCAACAGCCCTGGACAGCCTTGGACACACCCCAGTGGCCTAAAGTCCTCTGGCCTCAGTTTGCTGTGTTCTAATCTGTGGTAAGGAAACAGAGGGCTGTGGAATGTCTCTTGTCCTCAGCCCACTCTGCTGATTTATGCCCAGGGAATTCCACTGGGTTTAAATGGAATGTCTATCTGATTGTGCTGTGTCCAGAGAAGTGCCTAGCAGCCACGTACTACCCAGGCTCTCTTTTTCCAAACAGATTTGGTTTCGTTTTCTCAGTACATCCAAGAAACTCTTGCCATCACCAGTTGACTCATCAAATGATAAAGAAATGGTGTTTAAGAGAGTCAGAGGTTTTCAAGTGCTCAGGCTCTGCTCTTGGGCATAGGATGATTTTATTTCATCTTGAGTTCACTGGCTACAAAGTTTAGGAGCAGGCAAATGCTGTAACTTCTCATAAACTTCACTTTATTCCCCTGCAAATTGGAATGAATGGGATGATACCTCTCATACAGATGCGGGATGGGTTTTATGACAACACTGAGCATTGTGTTTGCTCATAGTGAACAATCTATATTGTCACTGATATTTTTTTAAAAAAATATTATTGTTATTGACACTAATCTTCAATTTTTGGTAAGAGGAAGTAAATGAGGGGCAAATATTTCTGGTGATGTCTTAGATGTAGATCAGAATTCACATGATGATACATGTAAATTTGAAAATGCTAATTTTATTTTATTTTGAACACTTATACAACATTTACTTAGTGACAGTCACTATTGCAGCCACTTTGTAACAATCAGGTTATATGTCTCCATACAAGTTTACAAAAGAGTTGCCATTATTCAAGATGAATAAGTTGAAGAAACAGAAGAGAGACTGTGTTGGCATGCCAGGAACCTGGGAGACACAGGAACTTGGCTTGACTGATCTCATGCCTAACCAACACCCCCACACTGGACTCCCAGTGTGGCACAGTTATGCTTGTTTGTGGGCCCATGGCATTACCAAATGAGAAGAACTTAGCTTTAAAAACCAGTATAGAAATAGAACCTTAATTACATAAATATCTTTGAAGCATTCATGTAAACAGTCTACTGTTTCAAAAGAAAAATAAGAGTTGAAAAATTGTGTCTATTGAGATAGTATAAAATAAATCATTACAAGAAGGAGATTAGGGGTGGTATATATACAAACACAGTGTATATTCTGTGTATAAATATTTACAACCTTTTTCTATTTTCTTGACTCCAGTTTTGTATGTATGTATGTATGTATATATGAATATTTGCAACATCACACAGAAATGTAAGAGGATGTAATGTCTGGCTGAACTAGCTTGAGACTTTCTTTTTTTAACTCTTAGTTTATTGTGTGATTTTAAGAAACACTATTTCCATACAACATAGACTTCCTTAAAGCTAAAATATGGGTAAATATATGAATGCAGAAAATGTGTATCATGGTCAAGGCTTCGTATATTTAATTATGCTATTACTCAACTATATCCAATTAAATGTTGCTAGTGATTGCTTGAGACTGAAATATATCGAGAATGATCACATTTATGTTAATGAAATGATGCAGTTATAAAACTTCATTTTTTTTTTTTATTTGTCGAGACAGGGTTTCTCCGTAGCTTTTGGTTCCTGTCCTGGAACTAGCTCTTGTAGACCAGACTGGCCTCGAACTCACAGAGATCCGCCTGCCTCTGCCTCCCGAGTGCTGGGATTAAAGGCGTGCGCCACCACTGCCCGGCAAAACTTCATATTTTTAAAGTTCTCACTATGTTGTTCTCTGAGTTGGAAATTTTCTCTTACATAAATCAGCACTTTGTTACTTTAAGACTCGGTAGACCTGGTATGGCGCAAAAATTTAAGTCTTTAACATTCAATTAAATAACTCAAAAATTTTTCTCCCAACTTTTTCTCGCTCAACGTAGCTAGCACCCCATGCAGTCAGGTATAGACATGGGTCATTGTGCAAGTTAATGCTCCCTTCCTTATTTGTTTGTGGCTGGTAATGGATAACTAGAGAATCTAGATAAGAACTCAGCCTTATTGCAGATGATGCTGTAGCTGTTTACAGATGCCAAGACTTGGGTTGTGAGAAACAGGGAGAAAAAAATACCAACGTCTGTGAAATAAAAGCAGCTAGCAAGCGTTGCTCACATGTCGTGGTGTTTATCGCCATGTACATTCACGTATCATTCTTCCTTCAGGGCGAATGAATCATTTTAAATAGAAGCAAACTGATCCTCCTATTAGCAAGTCTAAATCAGTAGAGCAACATCTATTTTCAGAGTCTTTGTAGCTATAATGGGACGGTTACAGTGTGCCACACTCAGCCCTGTCCCAAAACGACAGCATTCTGTTCCAAATAGATGGCGAAGGCTTTGGTGCCAGTGTCTCTATTGCGGAGCCTTTGGTTGGGAGAGCTGACGGCTGTGAGAAGCTCTGTGTTTTGAAGGTTATGATCACAGCAGTTTCATAAGTGCTCCATTTCAGCTCTCTTCTGGCTGCAGAAGGGACAGGTGCCGCCTGGGTCCGATTTCACTGGGTCTTAATTTCTTATCTGACCTGGTAGTCAATCAAGGGCATGAGAGAAGGGACTAAGGGCAAGATGGAGCAGTGGGAGAGAAAAGATTTGGGTGTTAGAAGCTGCAGGGGAGGGTACCAATGTCTGTGAGGGACAGTGTATGTGAGTGTGTGTCTCTCTGTGTGTGAACGTGTGTGTGTATTGCTAAGAATCTAAATTTTCTTATCCAGAACCTGGCAGCCCCTCCTGCCATTCTGCACTGCTGTGTCTACGCATGCTGCCCTGTGCAAAATGGATTTCTGAGTGTTAACCATCATGTTCCTTTTTTCCAAAGGGTCTTCTGTAGGATTTCATTTGCAGAGCGCAGAGGGCAATATCTAGGGTAATTCCAGGGCTTAGTGGCAGTGATCTTTTGTCAACTCTCCTTGTGAGAGAAATTAAACTTGGTAGGAGCACTCACAATCGCAGTGAGTGCAACGCCATCCCAGGCCAATGGGTAGGAAATCCTAAACCCAGCAAGTATTTATGAGAGGGGAAAAATGAGATGCCATAATACGACAAGAATATATTCATTAAATCTTTCAATTTCTCAGAAACAGAATTCCCACTTCAGTAAAAGGCTTTGAGCAGATTTATCAAGCCAGATATTCTTACTTTTATGAGATTTGACTCCCTATGCTAAAATGAGATATATTTAAAAGCAGGACAGCCCCACAAAAGGAAGAAAGCTTCTAAAAAGATGAAGTTAATAACATACTCGCCTCTGCACCTTAGATGGAATACCAGATAAGGGCCACAAGACACACAGAAAGCATCTGAATGCACACACAGACACCAAAATAAATCATGCTTTAAAAGCACAGGGAGAACTATCGAATTATTGCATATTTTTAAAACAGTAGTCAAGGCAGTTTTATTACCTCTCATAATTGCTAAGCAATTTCATTTTATTTCGATACAATCAAACAATAACAGCTTGCATTTAAGGTATTTGCCTGAATAGCTTTCACAATTACAGCATGTCTATACTGCGTTCCCACAGAACGTCCTTAGTGTATGCTGGGAAATGTGCACACAGGACTACACCCATCACCATCACCTTGAATGGTTCTTGATCTTTGAGAACAGCATAGGTGTATTAAGATAGGGTGCAATTCTAGTCATGGTACAAAGTCGACATAATTTTATGTTGTGTTGGGTTTAGAATTTCCTAGCTCTGTTTGTCGCAAATCAGACCAAGGTTTAACATGGACAATGTCTTTAGCAAGTGGGAAGTTAAACTTCTCTGAGATTTTCTCAGGCTTGAACCGGGATTTGGACATTGTCCACTATGGGAAGAACAGAAGAGCTGTCTTCAACGTCAATGCGTTCTACTCTTGTCCTCAACAATGCACAGACTAAAAACAACCTTGAGCTTCAAGTTGTAACTGTGTGATAATTATAACTGGTATTGATGCCTGTGTTCATGTGCACATCTTTGGGAAAATACAAGTGGTGACGCTGAAGGGAGGAAGCAAAACTGGGATTTTTTTTAACCGAGCTCCAGATCCAGGATAGAGACTTTAATAGGCAAAATCCAGGATTGATTCGATATTCTAAAGCTTGCAATATCTAGTAAAGTCTGGTGGTTAGGATTATAACTGCATATTCTTAAAAATGAAGATGCTTGTGATTAACTTTTATAGGGTGAAGCTGGGCGGTGGTGGCGCATGCCTTTAATCCCAGCACTCGGGAGGCAGAGGCAGGTGGATCTCTGTGAGTTCGAGGCCAGCCTGGTTTACAAGAGCTAGTTCCAGGACAGGAACCAAAAAGCTACGAAGAAACCCTGTCTCGAAAATCCAAAAAAGAAAAAACAACTTTTATAGGGTGAGTAATATTTAAAAATATTAGCTATAAAAACCAAACTTTACTTTTGGTGGATTTTCTGTGGCCCTTTCTTTTTTTTTCTTTTTTTAAATTGATATTTATTGAGCTCTACATTTTTCTCTGCCCCCCTCCCTGTCTCTCCCCTCCCCTTCAACCCTCTTCCAAGGTCCCCATGCTCTCAATTTACTCAGGAGATCTTGTCTTTTTCTACTTCCTATGTAGATTAGATCTATGTATGTCTCTCTTAGGGTCTTCATTGTTGTCTAAGTTCTTTGGGATTGTGATTTGTGGGCTAGCTTTCTTTGCTTTAGATAATCGAAGACCTGTGGCCCTTTCTTTATAGCTTTGACAAAACAGAGTTACCCCCGAGAGTAAGAACATGGGATCAGGGTATTCACAGCTAGAGTATGTCAAAAATGAACCCAAATGTGGAGGTTTCAGGGTGAATGATATGTATATGGAGGAAGAAAGTACATGACTGATGATGCTAAAAATTGATTTAGAAAAGATTGGTTCCTGTATACAGTCTATTTTATTTATTAATTATTGTTATTACAATTATTGTGCGTGTAAGTATGAGTATGCATGCGGAAGACAGAGGACAAGTTTTAGAGTCTTTCCTTTCACCTTGTAGAGGTAGGTTCCCTTATTTTTCAGGCTGAGTATTTAGGCTAGCTGGTTCCACTTCTCAGTATGGGACTGCTGGGCTTTCAATGCATGCCTCCTCAGCCAGCTTTTTACATAGGTTCTAGGGATCAAAGTCAGGTTGTTAGATCTGTGTGGCAAGCACTTTTTGACCACTGATTCAGCTTACTATCTCTTACACTTTTTATTGATTTCTAATTTTTAACCCCTAGGTGAATAACCACTGGTGTTTTGGGAGTCAACCTAGGGTATAGTGATTCATTGTGTATGTGGCCAAGAATGTATTGACCTCACCTATGTACCCAGTCAACATCAGGAGCAGTTGATGCTCAGGCAGGGGCTGAAGGGATCTCATGAAGGTGAGCCTTGTGATGTCAAGGGGAAGCTCATGTTTCTAGCTGATATCCATTGTCAAGTATTGCCATTTCCCCCTACACTTCAATGTTCATTCTTTCACTAGCATTATTGGTAGCTATTTATATCCTTTACAGTAAAATCTCCTTTTTTTTTTATCATAGTAAAAGATCAAGATCGACCCCAATGTCAATTTTATGGTCTATATTTATTTTCTCTTTTTCTGCCTTTACTACCTCTGTGACCTTAGACAAATTAATATCTATGTCCCTCAGGTTCCTATTTGAAAAATAGACATGATGATCATATTTGCACAACAGAACTTTTATGACAATCAAATTTACTGTATCATGGGTAGTAGGAACTCAAGAGTGCCATCTGTGTGTAGAATCAACATCTTTAACCTTGAATGGTGCAAGACCTACTACAAAATAGGTATTTGTTACTTATTTACAATCTTTAAATGACACTAAGCAAGGATAGAGCACAGGAATTATTATTAAAATCCCTCTTCTGTATCACAGGAAATACTGGGGAACTGATAGGCTAAGGTCCTGTAGGACCAGGCATGGCATCTTTCTTCTGTTTAGGTTCCTGCATGTTGGAAACAATGAGATACCATTTCTCTCCATTTTAAGGTATTATGAATTCTGTGTCACAAAATGATGAATTAAGTTATCTAATTTTATCCTACCAAAGGCATCTGTGGTCTGGGATAAATAAAGGCCATTTTTATCCAGTTATCCTTCATGGAGATGACTAGTTATTTCTTCCTCTAAAAGAGTCAAAGTAACACATATCATCAGTTATTCCTACAAAACTGGATGTCCTTATTTTCATCTTCTGAGGTACAGCAGAACAAGATGTGTCTTCACAGGTGTAGTTGCAGAAGTGAAGGAGGAAGGAGGAAGCCATTAGTTTACCTGAGAGCCCTTTGTGGCCATCCACTTGCCCTCATGCTGGACAAATGAGCATGTATCCCGATCCTGTGGATTTCTCACACACTCTCTTACCACATCACTTTGCCATATTGTCATCCAGAGATCGACCTTGCTCCTGTAAATTTTTTTTGGGTTCTCTACCATAATTCTGCTGCACAGAAAAAGAACTCTGTCTTAATACCACACCACCATTTGACTTCGACTCCATTGCAGGTGATGAAGACGTTCAGGTGACAGAGACCATCCTACCATCCTTGATGAGCTTCTGAGTCTCAAGACTGGGCTTTATGGCTCTATGACTTCTTTAGCTTAAAAGGTGTCCTGTGTGTACGCTCAATTTGGAGACACTTTCCTTCCCAGGTGCTTTCTGTTTCATTGGTATTTTTCTTCAACTCATTTTGCAAGGAACCTGTGACTTGCTGTGTTGACACTTGGTCATTTCCATTATCATCCTTTTCATTAGAGAAATTGCAAAGGACACTGAACTCTGCAAAGTTTGGTGCCATAAAATTGGCACAAAATAAGACAATTTAAACATGGAGGTGGCTTAAAAATTTATCTGTATTATTTCTATTTCTTTTTTACTGTGAAATTTTTAAAAATGAACACACAGAAGAGTACAACGAATCATTCTGTATTCATTCTGAACTCCTAGGAGTTCAACTTTTGCTGAATTGCGTAGTATTTGGCATCCAGTCTCTTACAGATCATTTTGAAGTAAATTCATAAAATTTTATTTTCTGTGAGTATTTAAAAAAATCCTAAGTATAATCTTTTCAAAGTTACAAAATGGTCATATCTAAAATATTAAAAATTATTAGTGATCATAATACTTGAATATAGCTTTATTTTACTCTTTGGGGGCTCACCACCCAGCTTCCAAATAAATACATAAAGACTTATTTCTTTTTTATGAATGCCAAGCCTTAGATTGGCTTGTTTCTTGCCAGCTTTTCTAACTTAAATTATCTCATTTCTCTTTAACTACACTTTGCCTCTATACTTTTTTACTTTTATTTGTTCTATATATCTTTCTTTCTTCTTACTCTGTGGCTGGCCGTGTGGTTGGGTGGCTGGGTGGGTGGCTCCTGACATCCTCCTCTACTTCTTTTCTTACTCTTCCCTCTTTCTTAGAGCCTATATTTCTCTTCCCATTTATTCTCTCTTTCTCTCTGCCTATCAGCCCCACCTATCTTTTCTATTGTCCCGCTATTTGCCATTCAGCTCTTTATTAGATCAACCAGGTGTTTTAGGCAGGCAAAGTAATGCAGCTTCACAGAGTTAAACAAATGCAACATAAGAGAATGCAACACATCTTTGCAGCATTAAACAGATTCTCCACACTTGAATACCATTAAATGCCCATGCATTATCTCTACTTTCAACTGCTTCACTAAATCAATCTCTCTCTCTCTCTCTCTCTCTCTCTCTCTCCCCTCTCTCTCTCTCCTTGGATTTGAAGTGGCATCAAACACTGATTAACCATTGCTGTTGGCTAGCATATACGTTAAGCTCTCCTAAAAGCTTCCAGCTCTGGATCTTTTTTTTTTTTTTTCTTGAAAACAACCACTTAGCTTTTCCTATGAGATTACCCTGTTTTCCTTTAGAGCCTGTGCTTTGCTGATTACATGCCTGTAGGTTTTTCCTTTGCATTGTTTATTTGTCTGTTAGATCAAAGACAAGTTTGTCTAGGCATTTGGGGGCCTACCCCTCAGTAGACAAACTGTGCCAGGTTGTACTGGGAATGAGCATACCCTGCATTCCTTCAAGGACCAGGGACCAGTATGTGTGTATGGGATCTGCTTTGAACTGGAGATATCAGGAACCCTGTTATTGGGCTCTCAGATCTTGAGGGACTCTGTGACAGATTTCCAGGGTCTAAAAGTCCCAGGATGCTCTGCTTCCTCAGGGGCTTCTAGTTCTGAGCAAGCTGCTTACTCATGTCAGCCACTTCCAGTGAGCATATGGGCTTCTCGCTGTCAAAGTCTGAGGAATTTACACATTTTATTTTTTCTCAGAAAAGACTATCTTTCAGGATGCCCCAGATCTTCAAGTGCAATTGGATACCTGTCAATGTGTACAAGTAATGCTGTAAAGGCTCCTGTATTCACATGATGATGAAGCTCAATGCTCCAGTTTTGCATTCAGTGGCAAAGATGAGCCAAGTTGGGGCGCAACATAAGTGTCCCGTGTAGGAGAGGCAGGCAAGGCTGGACATGCGGTGGTTAGCAGGGTAACCATACACTCTCTGTATACTTCAGGGTTCATGTCTATGATGCCGCCAGCTTCACATGGTCCTCTTGAATGCTACAATGCCACAGTGCTGGACCAAGGCAACCAGCACATGCGAACTTTGTAGCTTTAGAGACAGGTCCAGCTGACAAGTACGGGTTCCCTCATCAGGGGCTTTACCTAGCTGGTAAAGGGGTGGCAGCTTAGGTCGCTACAGATTCAGTGTTGCTATATTCCCATACTCCACCTCAATCCTTTTGTTTAATTTTGATTTTGTTTTCTCTTCCTGTTTTTGCTATTATTGCTTTTATTTCTGGAGACACTCTGTAGCCCAGGCTGGCCTAGAATTGTCATCCTTTTGTGTCAGTCTCCTGGGCACTGGGACTATAGACATTTGCCGGCAGACTCAGCTGCTCTTCCTAGTTTTCAAAATTGATAGCTGAATTAGATTGGGTTTATTTTATTTCATTCTTTGTTTTATCAGTCTTTGATAAATATCCATACATGTATGTACTGTATTCAGGTCATCCCACCTGCAACTCTTCCTGGAGTAGCCCTCAACCCCCTCACAACTTCATCTTCTCTTGCTCCCACCCCCACCTTCTCATACAATCCATTGAGTCTAATTAGTATTGATTGTTTCTTTGTTTAGGCAACACTTCATTCATTTATATCCCTTTCTGAGTTTTGAACTCTGAGCACGTTAAAAGGTTGAACTCATTGCTATTTGCCCAGTGCTTTTCGGAGCTTTGTCCTTGTATCAGAACCATCCTCATCTTTTGGGAAGTCTTAAAGGACAACATCTGGAGCTGCCTCACACTGGATGAATCAGAAGCTGAGTATAGAGTTCAGCTATGTATGTGTTGATAAGCATTTGGGTGATTCTAACACAAGTCAACAAGACAATCATTTTTGTGGATCCTCAGAGACCATGGACCATTTTCAGTGTTCAACATATAAAACTTGTTGGTATCTTTGAGTACCAATTGAGGGCTATTGAGTGAATTGATCGTTGCATATAATAAATATCTGGGTACATTGGTTTTATCCCTTTCACTTCTGCTTCTAACTTAGTTATGACCCTAGTTCTTGTATCGATTATGTCAGTAAAAAGAATATAGGTAATCCAATAAGGACTTGATGCTAATTTGTCAAGATTGTTGCTGGATTTGCCAGCATCCTTGTCCATCTGGCTGTTGCTGGGTTCTCTTGCTTCTGCTCCTCTTTAGTGTGCCATGATCCTCATGAACACTGTCTGAGGAGTGGGCCCAAAGTTCTCATCTTCTGCTTCGAAGGCTGCGTCATTCCCATGCTCCATTCCCATTTTAGTGTTCAAGGCAACAACTTCACTTTTTTGAAGTACTTGACATTTTCTAGAGGACTAGAATCAACGGAACACACACATATGCACACCCCCCCCCCATATGCCTATCTGAAAGAGCTGGGGTTTGATGTCCAAGTAAACGACAGCATCAGTGGATGCACTCTCTTAGAGATGGTGAAACTTGACCACAATGGCCACTTCTCTCCCGCTTTAGCCCTTCTTCCAGGCTCACAGCTGAGTGAATGGCATGGCTTGAATGAACCACATTCAAGGTGGGTGTTTCTTCTCAGTTACTATATACCACAAGTCAATTGTGTAGCCCTCACAGATACATGTGGAATCAGGTTTTGCTCCTCTTCTAGGTGTCAATCAAGTCAATCAAGACTAGCTGTCACATTACCTTTCCCTGCCTTTCTCTTAGAAAAACATACTTCTGGTAAAATGTTCCTCAAGATTTCAGTGCTTATGCAATCAACCATATCCCATACCTGTGTTTTAAAAAGTCTTCCTAGAATTAAACATATATTCTGAATATACACTGAATACATTTTTAGCTAATCGATATATTTTCGCTAGCATTATTTTCTTGGGTGAATACCACAGGCATGACAAACATTTATAATATAAGACAAAGAAGCTCATTGCATGGGCCCTTGGATCTGAATCTTCTGTTTGTTACTGTTGTCTGCCTTAATTTTTCATCTGTAATGTGGGGACAATTATAGCACATACTGACTTCATTGTAGTATTATAAGGATCAAATAATTCATCACATATACTATGCTTTGAAGAATACTTAGAAAGACACTTATCTGCTATTTTCTTAGACGCATAAATTTCAACATGAGTGTCATCCAACCTAAGGAATTCATGTTGGCTAAGAATTATGGACCACTGGATTTCTGTTCATACAACA